AAGAGGTTAATGTTAGGACTGGTCGGCCTGGTGTCAGGATAATGTGACTGGGTAGGACATCATGCTACATGTCTTCAGCATGATGTCCCAGTGCTAGACATCACTATAATATTGTTACATTGCAGACATCGTAGCGATATGACTGAAAAGTGGTTAAAGCTACGTGAAAAATCCAAATCACGTACACACATACACTATATGACTGCCACCTTAAAGCACAATCAATAATCATGGACAAACTTTATACTCACAATATAGGTAGGTATACGTTACACTATCCACATTCACGGCAGCGATTTCCTGGGTTAATATGTACATGTAAAAGTATGATAATTTAGATTGTTTTAGATTATCTTGTCCAAACATCATTTAATGAAGTCACTCTATCTGCCTATTCCATAATAAGTCACTCTGTCAGCCTACTCCATATTAAGTCACTCTGCCTAATCCATATTAAGTCAATCTCTCTGCCTAATCCATATTAAGTCACTCTGTCTACCTCATCCATATTAAGTTACTCTGTCTGCCTACTCCATATATATTAAGTCACTCTGTCTGTCTACTTCATAGTAAGTCAAGATTAAGTTCAGAATAAACGAAATATAGGGTCTTTTTCATATTGATCTGATACTATCATCATTATGATTTAAATGTATACGTTTAATATACCTTCCTCTGTTTTCTTTGAGCCGTTTTCTTGTTTAATTGAAATGGTTTTTTCCGCGAATGAACTAAATATTTGTATCCTTAAAGGCACAAAGTGATATTGATGAAAGTGCTTCACATGGTTTACTTGAGCCGACGTCTTCCTGTTTACGTCACACTGGTTAGGAAATTGCATTGAATTATCTGAAATATGAAGTTCTTTTCGTGTAAAGCATCGTGTTTTGTATCTGTCGAGATGTTCCATAAAGCTGCAGCTACTTTAAACAAGCACTCAGTACAGCTTCAAAGAGATTTTATTTTCATTGAGATGTATGCAGTAATGAATACCGATATTTCTTAAAGTTAAGTAACTATTTATAATGGACTAATGAGTAGCCTCTTTCAATATGGTGGAAAATTATACAACTCCATTCTGATCAATTGGCTGCTCGGCGCACATATTTACCCGTCATCATAGATAAAATACAAAACCATTTGTTACAATTATTTACGGAAGCTCATTTAGTGCCAATTTGTGACAAGGAAAAAGCAAATGCATTACGAATATTCGTGTATCCCTTTATCTGCAAAACTATTGAGAGCGGATATTCGCATTTGTGTTGCAAATATTCGCAAATGTATTGTGGACATTCGCAGTGATCTTCCTTAATATGTTGTCATTCGCATTTTATTTTATTTTGAAAACATGTCGACTCTGTTAGATTGTTTGTCATGTAGCTATCATTAACTCAAGTAATTATTAAAAATGCTCATTACTCTATTGTGTCATTATTTTGACGTCTCCCTTTTTGTGAGGTAGCCTTTTTCTGAAGGACGGTTGGTCTAATAAAGCTATGTGAAAAGATCTCTGCTAAGTTCAAAACACAAAACGATTTGATAAGGGCCGTTTTTGGTCAATGTAACATTGCAGTTGTTTCAGTGTGTACATAAATAATGTACTCAGTTGCTCTTCATTTTGCAGATACTACGTCCAAAGATAATTTTGAACTGATCTTTAGAATTTCTTACATAAAACTAATTTAAAATAGGTAAAAGTGCGGAAAGAATTCTCCTTTTGGCCAAATTTAGACATTTAAATATTTCGTTAATAAGCGATTAAATTGAGGAAAAAAAGATATATAGGCCAAGGTTTTATAACAACAAGTACACGTTATCAATGTATTTTTCCTGCTATTTCCCATAATTATTCTTCCCCATGTCGGTGGCGTAGATGAAAGAATTTGGATTGTGTAGTATACCCTCCATTTATTATTATATATACAATACGGATTTTCGGAATTGTTTTTATGTTATTTTCCAACAGCGACGGTCGATGTAGGCGCCATATCTCCCGACATACAAATGAGTGATTGCATCGTCAGATTGCTCCAAATGGATGCCTGTCAAGCTGGAAGATTGAAAAAAAAATGTTTTTACTATAGACTGCAATTACTTGAGTTATGCTAAACAGTGCGTATAAGAAAAAAAAGAGAAAAAAGATTATATATCACTTTATTATTAGCAAAAAGCAAAATATTCGTTTCACTTCGAAAATAATCATAAATAAGAACCACCTCTGATTTTTTGACAATGCCGGTTTATTTTGTATAGAAGACAAAATCATCATTGACCATAGTATTCCTCAAAGTTTGTCATTGATGTCATATTATGGTTAAATCAGAGAGCAATATGATCTTATTTATTTACTTTGTATTGATAACCTTAAACCCCCTTAACTTCACGGTCTAATGGAAGCCTGAAATAGTGTCATTTTCTTTCGCAAAGCACAGTTTTGACAACATGACAATATATCCGTGTTTATTTACAAATAAGTTGGAAATTAATGAAATTTAGATGTTTAATATAAAATGATGGATAGAGTCCATATAAATCTCAAGACGTTCAACGATACTTATGAAAATGGTAAGTTGAAAATAGTTTTGCTGCAACTCATCAACATATTTACATGAAAATATAAGAACGTTAAATGTCTACTCTAATGTTAACAGTAAGGATAATACAGTTTTTTTGCCATATAATTTATTATAAATCGACCCAATGTAAGCATAACCCTTACCCTGATAAAAAGTGGTTTAATAAATGTCAAAAAATATACCCGACAAAAACAAAAATTGAGAAAGAATTCAGCATACCAATAAATGTTTACGAATAAAAGATTTTTTAAAATTAATATCATCTCATTTAAAATATAAAGAAACGATAATAATAACCTTTGCAGAAATGCCAAAATTATTATTATTATTATTATTATTATTATTATTATTATTATTATTATTATTATTATTATTATTATTATTATTATTATTATTATTATTATTATTATTACTATCAGTAGTAGTAGTAGTAGCAGCAGCAGCAGTAATAGTAGTAGTATTTATTGTTAATTTTTATTTTTTATTTTTTTTGCAAACAAGCACAAACATTTTTACAGGAAGATAGATAACACAATAAGCAATGCAAGAAAAAGTTTCTTTTGTTAAATTTAGAAATCAGTCTCCATTTGTTTTATATTATGACTGAATGTAGCATGCAACCAATTATCTCCTGTCAACAAACCCAGAATGACTTTGTCTTGACATTGGATCAATTGCTTAAAACATGAACAAGAAAATACAAAATGTGAACTATGCTACAATTTTAAGAGTAATTGAACTTAATAAACAGATACAACAGAAAGATGTATATACTTAAAAATAAATTACGCAAGCTCTTGGAGCCATTATCATAATTTCAAACATTTATTTATTTGTTCCATGAACTTTATCGTTTAACCTCATGAGCTGTTGGTGCAGCTGTCCTTCTTACGAGACTTTCAAAATCGTTGTTGTTCTTGTACACTTTACACATGTTCTATTCTATTATTTTCATTGTCGTTTTCTTGAAGAAATGTTACAGAGTGTTAGCAACAGGGTCATACCAATGACTTTAAAAAATGGTACTAACAGCTGCCTCGCTTGGCGCTCAGCGTTAAGAGGTTAGTGTAATTAGGACTGGTCAGCCTGGTGTCAGGATAATGGGACTGATAGATTATAGTGATGTCTAGCAAAACCGATACGAAAATTTAAATTAGCATATGATCTCATATATATCAGCTTCCAACTATTTTTGCTTTTATTTACTTTTAAATCTTTTACTATATAAATTTCAACTTTCTCACTTTACTGAAACTGTAATGATACTAACATTACTTGCTATGACTACTTTTTAAAATATATACATCTTTTCTTGGTTGTGATTGTCACAGTAATCTTTGTAGATAATATGTTGCTTGTAGATTTGTAGATAATATGTTGCTTGTAGATTTGTAGATAATATGTTGCTTGTAGATTTGTAGATAATATGTTGCTTGTAGATTTGTAGATAATATGTTGCTTGTAGATTTGTAGATAATATGTTGCTTGTAGATTTGTAGATAATATGTTGCTTGTAGATTTGTAGATAATATGTTGCTTGTAGATTTGTAGATAATATGTTGCTTGTAGATTTGTAGATAATATGTTGCTTGTAGATTTGTAGATAATATGTTGCTTGTAGATTTGTAGATAATATGTTGCTTGTAGATTTGTAGATAATATGTTGCTTGTAGATTTGTAGATAATATGTTGCTTGTAGATTTGTAGATAATATGTTGCTTGTAGATTTGTAGATAATATGTTGCTTGTAGATTTGTAGATAATATGTTGCTTTGATGTAAAATTCTAAGAGAGCGCCCTTCTAAAACAAAGGCAAAAAATGAAAATTGAAAGAAAAAGTGATACAAAAATCTGTCATACTTTAATTCTGATATAATAATAATAATAATAATAATAATAATAATAATAATAATAATAATAATAATAATAATAATAATAATAATAATAATAATAATAATAATAAGTCGTTTTTTCCCCTAACAAATAAACATGGCATAAGGATTAATGTTGATTCGATGGTAAAGGCTGGCTTTTTCTGTGGCGACATTTAATCGGAAGATAATTTGCTATGATGAACATTTCTTAATACAAGCTCTCTCACTAATCTAGTGAAATCTATTTAAACATCTCTTGTAGGCTCTTGTCTGTGATGTTAGTAGTTCCGGTTACTTTATAAAATGAAAAACTTAAAAGAAAATGATTCATTGGTTCTTGTAAACGTTATATGCATTAAACACTGACACAAGCCTTAAAATGATTGGAATTCGTTACGTAACTCAGCAGGCCATGGACTAATGATTTCTTGTTTAAAGATTTATATGAATTAAAATGCAAAATTTTCCACATCGAAAGATCAAATAAAACGATATCTGATTGTGACAATATTACTACATTTGTTCCACTGCTCATTACTTCTGAACCGCTATGGTAGCCTTGCAGTTAGAGCGTCAGCCTCGGATGCGGAAGGTCGTGAGTTCGAACCCCAGCCGAATAATAACAAAGACATTATAAAAATGTTACTAGCGGCTGTCTTGCTATCAGGATAATGGAACTGGGTGGGACATAATGGTACATGTCTGGGGCATGGTTCTCCAGTGCTAGACATCACTATAAGCTACCACACTGCAGACATAGTAGCTATATGACTGAAATCGTTAACGCTACGTTGAAAATCCACACAGAAAACACATTAGCCAGATAGGTAAATCTGCCACAAAGTTTATTTGGCCTGCCAACATCTGGCAACACTGTGGTTAACTATTAAGCGACCACTTCACCCTCAATAGTAACAGTTCATCATCAGTGTTTTTTAATCATATTATTGTGCTTCGTTTCTATTGAATGGACTTTGTTGATGTAAGTCTCTTAAGTCTCCAAGTGCAATATTGGCCTTCGTGCCTCCTGTGACAATCCGTCGGGGGATTTATCTCTAAACAAGGGACTGATCAAATTTAAGCCATGGATGAGATCCAAGTCGGCGTGTTGACGCTCACAAAATTCTTTCTTGATGATTTAAAAGCTAGATCATGTCAGGGACATGCAATACCCACAAGTTCTTCTCTGGGCTTTGATTGGTTATTAGAATCCAGCATCACTGCAAACATCATAGCGATAAGACTGAATAATATTTAAGCTACTTGTTAAATCGCAAAAACACATACACACACACTCACACACACACACTCACACACACACTCTCATACTCACACACACACACACACACACTCACACACACACACACGCTTACAATACAGCATTTTTGTTACAGGCATTTGCAACGTTTTAGTTTTTGTTTATTCCATGCAACCAATGGCCTTAAAGAATTCATAATTCTTTCTGAAGAATGGTGGTTTAGCTTCCATATAATTAGTAAGAAGTAAGTTTAAATCATACAAGTAAGTTTAAATCACACAAGTAAGTTTAAATCATACAAGTAAGTTTAAATCATACAAGTAAATTTAAATCATACAAGTAAGTTTAAATCATACAAGTTTGAATCATACAAGTAAATTTAAATCATACAAGTAAGTTTAAATCATACAAGTTTGAATCATACAAGTAAGTTTAAATCATACAAGTAAGTTTAAATCATGCAAGTAAATTTAAATCATACAAGTTTAAATCATACAAGTAAGTTTAAATCATACAAGTTTAAATCATACAAGTAAGTTTAAATCATACAAGTAAGTTTAAATCATACAAGTAAATTTAAATCATACAAGTAAGTTTAAATCATACAAGTTTGAATCATACAAGTAAGTTTAAATCATACAAGTAAGTTTAAATCATGCAAGTAAATTTAAATCATACAAGTTAAAATCATACAAGTAAGTTTAAATCATACAAGTTTAAATCATACAAGTAAGTTTAAATCATACAAGTAAGTTTAAATCATACAAGTAAATTTAAATCATACAAGTAAGTTTAAATCATACAGGTTTAAATCATACAAGTAAGTTTAAATCACACAAGTAAGTTTAAATCATACAAGTAAGTTTAAATCATACAAGTAAGTTTAAATCATGCAAGTAAGTTTAAATCATACAAGTAAGTTTAAATCATACAAGTAAGTTTAAATCATACAAGTTTAAATCATACAAGTAAGTTTAAATCATACAAGTAAGTTTAAATCATACAGGTTTAAATCATACAAGTAAGTTTAAATCATACAAGTTTAAATCATACAAGCTGCAGAAAGGAAAACTACTGAAACTATCTTTTAAAAATAAATCAGTTTTATGTCATTCACTCTAGTTTTTTTTTTAGGGCGCGTTTGCACTGTCACTATCCATTATTCGGATAATGAAAAAAAATCTTATTGCAGGGAGGTTGCCCCCACCGCACCCCACCCCACCTTCCGAGAATATCCCGATGCTATTGAAATAATTCAGTGGTGATACTCTTCTGAATTAATTTTCGTCTCAAGCTCAGAGTTATGTCAGAATCAAGGTATATATAATATAATGTCGCAGGCTGTTTGGGAGAATAGACCAAAACATTTTAACAATCACTGACAAAGTAAGAAAACTGTCTGACAATATACAAACGTAGTCCGAAAAATTCTGTTCATAGTCAGTCAGCAATTGATTTTCATGATCAATTTTAGATATGTTTTTCGAATTTTGTTCAGAAGCATTTTTTTAAATGAAAAGAAATCGTGAATGTTATTACTTTCAGAGAGATCTTCAGTGACTAATTAAAGAGGAAATCTCAGTATTGATTATTTCTCAATATTTCCAAATTTGTGAAAAAGTCTTGTTTTAATTTTATCAACATTGCAGTTTTCCTATTTTATTTCGTTTTGCGAAGAACAGCAGTTAAATATTTCAAGATCAGATTACAAAAATAGAAAACAATTAATGGCGCAATACTCCCCATATACTATATTCCACATCAAAATTATTGGTAATATATACATATTTGTCGTGAAAATAACAGACAAGATTCACAAATATACTACAATCATCGTTTGAATGAGATCTTTTAAAATCATCCTGCTACATCCTTGATACAGCGATGTCACGCAATTAATTAAATTAATTAAGGAAAATGTTTTAAAAAACCAATATATAACGTTTATGTTTCGATTAAAGAATGATCTAGCTTCGACTTGATACATGAACTGAAATTTTCAGTTAATTAGATATTAAGATGGAAAGCTATTTACCGGAAACAGTCTTCCTGTGGCATTCAACGATCAGCAAATCATTTCCGCTCACTGAAGCTTACAAGAAGGATCTTGACATTGCGTTTACACTGTTTTTGGTTGATTGCAATATAGAAGAAATCTGACAGTATCTCGCCATATCAAATTTTGTAGATGTCAGAATAACATGCTTTCCATCCTAGTCACCCCGCATTTGATAGACATCAGCTGCTTCATTCAAATAAAGACAACAGTTCTCGTTATCGTTTCAAAATCTTATGAAAATCACGTTCTGGAGGTACAAAGCAAATTACTCTTTCATATTGGTTTTTTTTTCGTCAAAAAGTTGGGCTTTTGGTTAAAAAATAGAAACGCATAGCGTTGATTTTGATGGCTTGTTAGGCGAAAGTAATTAGAATGCAAAGATCTGATATGTCTTGTTTTTTTTTTTTGCTTTTTTTCTTTCTTAAATATAGTTACCATAGTGTATCCATTTTCATCGTCCTGAGGTAGGAGACTTTGTTATTTTTGACAGACATATACATTTTTCTTTTTTTTACAACTAAGTCGTTTTCGTGTTTTGGTAGTCACAGAGCGTAAACATGACATATAATTAATGCTATAAAATGCATCATTTCAAAATGTTTTTTTTTTATTTAAAAAAATGACCTAAACATAATTTCCTGACAAATGTTGCCTCTGAGGAAAACTTTAAAATGATATACATGTCTATATTGCAAACGTTAGATTTTCAAGTTCATGTGGATTTTATTTACACCATTATTGCTTGTATTTAGATTTCAAGAAAACCGTAATCAAAATACTATCTTTGGATTCAATGCATATAATTCCTACTCCTCTCCATTTATAATATTGAAAATTTAAGAAATAGTTTGCATTTACTTCGAAGCTAATGCTAGCTAATTGATGATCTGTGGTATCAAAAATCTCTTCATTTGGCTCTGCAAGGTTGAAGAATCGAAACTCAAATTTGACAACTTTTTTGTAAAAGATTATTTCATATTATGATCATAGTAAAAAGGAATATAGTTTATATTTTTGAAATCGTTCCTGCCAAATACGGTCTATATTTTAAATGTTTTTATTCTTTAGTTTTTACATCATTTTCATGCATACATACATACATGCATACATACATACATACATACATACATACATACATACATACATACATACATACATACATACATACATACATACATACATACATACATACATACATACATACATACATACATACATACATACATACATACATACATACATACATAACGCAAGTACGTGTAAAGCATGCAAAAATAATTATATATCATGTAGATGTAATTTGTATTATTTGTTGGCTTTGCTCAGTGATTATATATTATGTATGTCTGTATTTTGTAAATGACCTTTGTCCAAAATCAAGTAATTGGTCTACATGATTAGTGACATTTAATTTTTAAACAACGTAATACATAGCTAATATTTCTCTATGATTATAGGTTAAATATTCAGATCATTATTAATAAAGATAAACATGTTCACTTCAATCTCAGTCAAGGTCATTAGTTTTGTATTTGGAATTTCCTAATCTTTTTGGCAATTTAGAGTGTTTTAGAAAGAAAATTCACCAACATCCTAACTCTGTTATTGTGCCTTAGCCTTTTTATATGTATGCTCTTTGCTTCAAAATTATTAATTCCTACTTAATAAATGAAGTGGAATCAGTCTTATGCTTGTGTTCAGTTTTTGATTTGGGTAGATTTATTTATTTATATAAATTATTCACTGGAAATACAAATAGCTCATTAATACTTCTCAGACTAAATCATTAATTTGGAATTAAAGTGAATTCATTCATGGACATTTTGGAAAATATCATTGTGATGGATTAAATGAGTGGTGGCACATTAGCACATTCGAGGCTGCAGGCACATCAGCAGATTCAAACTGGAATTTATTTGGAACACCACTACCGTTCATTGGAACTCTATAATCTGGACTTGTGATAGAACTTTTAGGATTATTTGGAATTTGAATCACAATACTGTAAATTCTTTTTAAATATTTACTTTTTGCACTATCGAAATAAATTGTTTGTTGAATTATACAAAACTTGTTGGTTTTCGACCTTTTCTTTTACTTAGTTTAAGACCATAGAGTCGTAAGAGAATATTGGGTCTCTTGTTAGGATACGAAAAGTGAAAGCACTACCTCTCCTGCACGAACAAGTTCAGACTTTGATGTTACTAAACTTATTAGATTAGTAACCACTTTTAAAGAAAAATAAGCTGATCATTATTTTCCTGAATTTGAAACAAATTCTGAAAATTGGAATGGTCAGGAGAGCATT